ACTAAGTTATTATTAGTGCAAATTATTGAGTAAAATCTTAAAGACGCAATTTACATAAAGAAGATTGCGTCCTAGTATCAAAATAATATGATTGCGAGTTCAAAAGTAGTCCAGAGCGTAAACAATTCCTTCATTGTACTTTTTTTTTTATCAAGACATTTCATTTTTTTTAAATATTTTATTTTAATCTTTGTTTCAGTTAATCTATAAAACATTTCGATTAACTATAAACACATACTCTTAATTAATTAGACTCCATATTTTTTAAAGTTTTTCCTCACTAAAACAACATAAACGATTAAATCAAAAACATATTCAAGCATAAATTAATTCTGATATCAAACGCAAAGTTCTTATTCTTTTCTATCTTTCTTATATAAAATCTAATGCTTTGAATTATTTTTTCTTAAATAGTTCTTCATTTAGTTTTTTTTCTAAAACACTTTTATCTTTTTCAATTACAAATTATATTTTTATCAAAATAAGGCATAAAATTATTGTCATGAAGATAACTAATTGCCAATGACGACGCTTAACTTCAGTTTTATTAAAAGAATAAATTTTTTTACAAAATTAAGTTTTTCTATGATTTTTTTAAAGGAACAGATGATAAATTAAATTTTTGTTCTACAAAAATTTGAAATGTCTAAAACAAACAAAATTGCAGGAACAGTTCTTGTAAAAAAATACCATAATTCTGGAAGCAAAGCAAAAGTATACGGTATTTATTGCTTTCATTACACGTTTTTCTATGATTTTTTTAAAGGAACAGATGATAAATTAAATTTTTGTTCCACAAAAATTTGAAATGTCTAAAAACAAACAAAATTGCAGGAGCAGTTCTTGTAAAAAAATACCATAATTCTGGAAGCAAAGCAAAAGTATACGGTATTTATTGCTTTCATTACACAATTTTTCCGTGCATATATTAATGAATTTTCCAAAATTCTGGTTTTCAAAATTACCCGAGTTTCAGATTGATGAAAAAGTTAATATTATTGTTTAAGATTAACCGAGATTTTTGGTATTCCTATTGAACCAGTCCTTCCTATTCCGGTAGTTTTAACCATACTTTATATCCCAGTGTAAGGGCTAAAATAATCCATTTTATAAATAATAACGAACTATTTGTAACGACTTCACTTTAACGCTACAGAAAGAATACTACGAGTACTTACATCTAGGGTAAAATAAGCGTATACTTTTCATGAACTATTTATAAATACAGAAGTGTTATAAAATTATTTTAATAATTTATAATGTTTGTAATATTCCGTAATAGGATACAGAAATTCTTAAAATAAAGCAAAGGAGAAATAAAATATTCTTCTGTTTCGTAAATAACAGTTTTTTTTTCTAAATAAAAACTTTGTATAAAGGCTTCTTTTAATACATATATCCATTTTTAAATTTTTTTCATTTTATTTTACTTCGGTAAATCTCAATTTATTTTTATTCTTCGCAAAAAAAATTAGAATTAAAGGTCACTAAACACGCTGATCTAATATTTAATTTTCTTAAAAAGTTTTTCAAATAAAAACATGTCTTTTTTTTTTTTTTTTTTTTTTTTTTTTTTTTTTTTTNTTTTTTTTTTTTTTTTTTTGAAATAACAGCAACAATAAAGTAATAATTCATAATTAGATGTAAAAAAATGATGATTTGGACATCCACGGCTGATAATTTGATTTTCTAACATAAATAACTGAACCTTTAAATATTTGAAACATATACTTTGAGGGATTTACAAGGTTTAAATTAGGAAAAATAAATTAGTGAGAATTAAAGGCATGTGCGGACCGACAACTCCTCGTGAGGAACTATCATAAGTGAACTTGAGATTTTTTTTCCCGCATTTCGCGTGCAGTTGCAGTGAAGAGACTTTTAAAGATTACTTCGGAATGGGTTGTGTATTGCTGTATTTTGAAATGACTCAAGTCCCGGTATTTTCTTTCTGTCTCTTTCCCCCTTTTTATAAATCTTTATTTAAAGATGATAATTTAGAAAAATAGCATGATAATCTTTGCAAGGAGTTGTGAATGTTGCGTTTTAAAATGACTGAAGTCCCAGTATTTTCTTTCTTTCTCTTCCTCTTTATAAATCCTTATTTAAAGGAGATAATTAAGAAAAATAGCGTGATCATATATTTAGTGGGTAGAGTATTGCTGTGTTTTAAAATGACTGAAGTCCCAGTATTTTCCTTATTTCTCTTACTCTTTATAAATCCTTATTTAAAGGAGATAATTAAGAAAATCTACGTGATCATATTTTTAGTGGGTTGAGTAATGCTGTGTTTTAAAATGACTGAAGTCCTAGTATTTTCCTTATTTCTCTCCCTCTTTATAAATCCTCATTTAAAGGAGATAATTAAGAAAAACAACGTGATCATATTTTCAGTGGGTTGAGTAATGCTGTGCTTTAAAATGACTGAAGTCCCAGTATTTTCCTTATTTCTCTTACTCTTTATAAATCCTTATTTAAAGGAGATAATTAAGAAAAATAGCGTGATCATATATTTAGTGGGTTGAGTATTGCTGTGTTTTAAAATGACTGAAGTCCCAGTATTTTCCTTATTTCTCTTCCTCTTTATAAATCCTTATTTAAAGGAGATAATTAAGAAAAACAACGTGATCATATTTTTAGAGGGTTGAGTAATGCTGTGTTTTAAAATGACTGAAGTCCCAGTATTTTCCTTATTTCTCTTCCTCTTTATAAATCCTTATTTAAAGGAGATAATTAAGAAAAACAACGTGATCATATTTTTAGTGGGTTGAGTAATGCTGTGTTTTAAAATGACTGAAGTTCCAGTATTTACTTTCTTTCTCTTCTTCTTTATAAATCCTTATTTAAAGGAGATAATTAAGAAAAATAGCATGATCATATTTTTAGTGGGTTGAGTAATGCTGTGTTTTAAAATGACTGAAGTCCCAGTATTTTAATTCCTTCTCTTCCTTTTTATAAATCCTTATTTAAAGGAGATAATTAAGAAAAACAGCGTGATCTTATTTTTAGTGGGTTGAGTAATGCTGTGTTTTAAAATGACTGTGGTATTTTCCTTCTGTCTCTTCCTTTTTATAAATCCTCATTTAAAGGAGATAACTAAAAAAAATAACGTAATGATCTAAAAAGATCATTGAACAGATGTTCGAAAGTTAAAGACAAAACATAATTTTCTTTTTCATTTTTATTTTTTTAAACAATTTGTCTTTTCAGTCATTTAATCATCAAACAGAAAATTTATGTTTTTCGAAAACATTATCTAGCGCGTCCTCAATTTAGTAGGGAATTAGTTATATATCTATCTTCTAATAAATATACACAGTAGGATAAATTTAAATAAATTAAATACTTTAGAAACAACACTATTCACTTAAAAATAAACATTTTCAGAAACATTCAGTACATGATCGATAAAATTAATATTCACTTCAGATTTTAACAGTTCGAATTAACATATTAAGCTTAAAAATTTTCAGTAATAGTAATTCTTACTTTTTTTAATCCTGTTGATAATAACTGCGTTTATTTTTAACTATGAAGGATTATTGCTTTATGTCGATGAAAACAATATTTTCTAAATTTAAATTTCTCTGATACTTTCAATAACGTTTTGCTATTAATGCACTATAAACTTAGAGAATTTTTTATGATGTTTTAGAAGTTCAACAAAAAGCATAAGACTAAAATAAAGAATTTATTTAAGCCTTGCTTTTATATTTTAAATATGAATAATTTAATGTTGCGGCTTTATATTAAATTTTATATATTTCATACAATAAATTAGAAAACTATGTATTTAATTACTGTCATAACAAGCGCAATAAAAAAGTAATTTCGATTTAGTTTTTATAAGCATTCTTTTGTCTTATGAATTCCAGTAAATTTTGCATTTGAATATTCCTTATCTTTCATAAAATAAATTTATAAAAGATGAGTTTGTAATACTTTTCATACGACTGGGTTATTAGGCTTTGTTTATTTAAAATATATATATTTCATCCAAAAAAAGAAATAAAATGGTGTTTTAGTTCAATGTTTCTTTCATATATCCATTTTTGATAACTCATCATTTTATGAATCCCTGTTTTATCAGATTTACGCATCGAAATCCTGAAAAATTCATAATTCCTCGAGGGTGAAGAGAAAAAAAAATACGCGTTCCTATTTCACGGAATTTTATCCTTTTAAAAAAGAACATCGAGAAAAAGCTTTAGGAACAAAAAAAATAATAATAATAAAAGAAACTTCCATTTCACCCGCTTTAAAACTTTTGCCAAAAGAGAAAAGTAGTAACGAGCGAAAAATATAAAAAAAAAATAAATAAATAAATAAAATAAAAAAGTTTGAAATGAGAAGAGAAGGCATAAGCAAAAACGCTTCTCTAGGCAAAACGCACTCTAGCGTTTCTCAAAATGTTTGGAAGATGCAAAAATGGGCGGAGTTAAAAGAAAAATATCGATTTACACAGTATAATGTATCGGATTTTTTTGACGTCAAATTAAACGGCAGACGACAGGATGTGCAAGCGCCTGGCTTGCATAGATAAAACAACTACAAATTACACGATACATTAGCTCTAAATAATCCCTACATTTACAAAAGATTAACAGCGTTCTCTATACACTCCCATCCATACGTCCTGCCACCACAAGACAAATGGAATGCATTAAAAACACAGTTTTAAAATGTCAACAAGTATGGAAATCAACATTCTAAACGTACGCTCTAGCGAATACAATCGATATAGATCCCTCTTATTCTAGAATTTAACGTTACAAATTTCGTTAAACGACCCTATCCAAACTCCATTAAGCCAGCCCATAATGGTTCCCTACATCATTTTTATAATACCGGAACGAAAGAGTTTAATAGGAGAAAGGGTGAAGCTATTATGCTGATTACCTGGCGTGGTTTGATTATCGCGCAGCCAATAGATGGCAGCACAGGATTCGAGCAGCGGCCATTGTGAAATGGTGTTTTTAAGCCTAGGCTGTGACGTCATCGATTAGGATGATGGCTTCCATGGTGAATGCGACGAAGTTGAAGATGCAAAGAGTGCCCCTTTAAAGAAGATGAAGAAAGTAAAGGTAACGATCTCCATTTTAAACTTGGCACTCCTCAAATCGGAAATGAGAACCTTGTCTTACGCAGCGGAGTTTGCGCAAATCTTGCTCATAAAAATGACAGTCTAACCCTTTCTTATTATGCGCAATATGCTCTCTCTGGAGTTGAGTTAAAAATTTATAGAGAACGATTTTTCGGGAGAAAAAAAAACAAAAAATTAAACTTTTCTCTTAATTAGGATATTTTCATTTTTTTTTTTTTTTAACTCGTTCTTTGCGCAAAAATAATTGTTTTACAAGGAATCTGAAATTAAATTAAATTAATTACAGACTGTAATTAATTATATAAGACATAATTAGAAAGGAATTAGTTTTTAAGAAGTACATAATTTTTTTTTCAGTTATTCATGTAAAGTATAATATCAAAATACACAAGTAACACTTTTTATTTATTTGACGTTTCATAATATTATAAGAAGTCAAAAAAATTAGAGACTTAAATTAAACTTTTTTGTTAAAGTTCAATTCATATTTTTAAAGTGAAGTATCTTTAGAAAATTTAATGTCAGACGTCAAGCAAGCTTTATCTACTCAAGTAATATAAAAAAAATCATCGAGTTAAATCTAATTTATAAAAATAGCTTAAATTTTTATATGATAAATGTTGGCATAAATAAACTTCATATGAAATGTAAGCTATACATCTTTTGTAGAAAGTAATACTTGACATTTTAATAACCTAAATTAAATTAAAAATCAAAATTTAAAATTTTCCCCTCACAATTTGAATTTTACACTATTAAAATTATTTAATAAATTATTACTAAATGATACTTTCATTTAATGATAAATATGAATAAAATTATCGAGTTCATTTGCAAATATATAGAACTTTATTGAGAGCATAAAGAATTTTTTTTAATCAAATTTCTGAATATTGACTTTTAATTGGAAAATCTTTCTTCAGATTTTAATCGTTGGGAAATCGAGTGATTACTTTTTTATATCATAGCTAATTCTTCAATACAGTTATTTTGATAATGAGTGAACAATGAAGAAAAAAAAAATTTTTTTTGATCAAATTAGTCAACGAGGATTAAATTCGACAAAGATGCTAGTCATAGAAGGATTTGAAGATTTTATAAAACAGACTCAAATTTGATAGTTTGCTACTAAATTGAGAAATAGTAGCGATTTTTTAAAAATTCAAATATTTGGATTTCTTCAGATTTTAAATGTTGGGAAATCGAGTGATTAGCTATTTATGTCATATCGAACCCCTTAATACAGTTATTTTGGGAATTAGTTATCAATGAAGAGAAAAAATATTTTTAATTAAGTTAGTCAACGAAGATTAAATTCGACATATATGTTAGTCATAGATGGATTTAGAGTTTTTATTAAACTGTCGTAAATTTGGTAACTTGCTACAAAATTCAGAAATTGTTGTAATTTTTTAAAAATTTTAAAATTGGAAATATTTTGATCAAAAATAAATTTCCATTAGGAATTCAAGATTTTTAATGTGAAGAGTTGGAATCAAAGTATATATTTTGAATGAGCATAAGTTTTTCAACTTTACAATTATGTTAGCACTGTAGGCAGTCAAAAGTCATCATATAATATAATGTATAAACAATTAGGGAAATATAGAAAAATCAAAAATTTTCTCGAATTGCATTAAAAAAAAGTTTTCTCCCACATGAAAATTTTAAAGCAAACTATAAATTTGTTAGGGAAGTCACTTAAAAAAATATCCTTTTTTGTAATCACGTTGACGTTTAAGGTGTGAAATAAAACAAAATAATAAAGGTTAATGCTACAGATTACAATAATGTTTGCTACTTAATTCCTTTTCATTACATTTTAAAAAGCATAAAAAGAAAATAAAATCAGTTTTGCTTAGGTAATTTTCTATTATTTATTTGACAATTTTACTTTTCATGTACTGTGGCATAAAAAATTATGAATTGTTTTAGTTTCGATTATGAATCTTCTTTTTTATTGCGAATCTTTCATTAAATTACTTAGTGCAGTAATTTTTGTGCATAATTAAAAAAAGCATATTTGAAAAAAGAAATCTATTTGGAAAAAGAAACCTACTTGAAAAAAAAACATATTGCACCACACAAAGTTATATTTGTATTAACACGCATAATAAAAATCAATAAAAATTTTGCAACATTAAAAATTCATGCGCTTTATAATATTTAATTAGAAAATATTAAAAAGCATGTAACATAAAGATAGGGAAAACAGGTATATAACATAAAATACATAAAAAATGTAATAAAATTATATAAATACAGAAATTATTTATGAATATTTTCATAAAACATCATCGATTGAAAGAGTATTTTATAATGATTAAGTAAGGAATTGTGAATCTTTCATTAAATTACTGTGTGCAGTAATATTTCGGCATTATTTAAAGTATTCATGTTTACAGATCCAAGAAAAATAAGCAAAGAATATATATTTCATAAAAATCAAGACTAAAACATTGAATTGCAATGAAAATTCTAAAATTGCAAATAAATAACTTGGTTCTTTATGTGAGAAATTAAACTTATGTGACAAATTAGTTTAGTTGGAAAAAATAAAGAAACAGCAATTTTGGTAGGATCTATATCGTTGGACTCAGTTAATTCAGGTAAAGCATGATAAAGAATAAATATTTTTAACATAAAGCTATTTTAAAGTCTGGAATGTAGTATATAACTTAATTTTTAATAAAAATAAAATATTTGACGCTTAAAACATTGACATGGTCCTTAAGTTCTTTTTTTGCCTTGTTCAGATTAATATTTTTTACGCTTAGCATTTTCTGAGGTCTAACCAATATTGTCTTATATGTGCAAATTTGTGCTGAGAGATTTTAATTTTTCATAATTTTTATAAAATATAAGCATTGAATTAAAAAAATAGACAATTTCTTTCTATAACCAAGGCTACATTAATCTTCCACTTAATTAAAAATTAAAACCTTTACAATAACATGTCAACTAACCTTTTTATATGTACATTAAAATTTATAATAACATTTTCACAGATATACTAATCATCAGTTACAGTGTAGCAGTTTTATAGCAGTAATTTCAGCATTTACATTGGTATTTCATATTAATTTATATTTTGGAACTTGCAATAGTATTTCACATCAATTAACATTTCGACTGTTACATAAATATTGCATCATAACTAATACATAGACAATGAATTTAATATTCTATAATAAATAATTTAAATCTATTAAATTATAAAAAATATAAAAATATAAGCTCTAAATGAATTCAAATCTCAAGAAACTCAAAATCCTATTTTTTTTTAACCTAGCAAACTCTATTTAATTTTAAAATGACGTTTAAATTTTTGTTTAGATTTACCTTCAGATGATAAAGTATATTATTTTACAGTATTTAAAACTATAAAGTTCAAAAGGGTCATAACATTCAATTTATAGAATTAAAACCATGATTTTACTGTAAATAATTCCGGATCAAATTACGGTATAAAGTACTGGTACTTTAGGTGCATCATCAATAAAATAAATTTTACCGTAAAATCCATTTTTATAGTGAAAGTCATTTTTACCGTCAAATTCATTTTTACTGTAAACCATATTTTAACCGTAAAATATACTGTAATTTTTGCAGTAATTTTTTTATTAAAATGATTTTGTGGTAATTATAACAGCAAAATTTTCGAACCATCAAATTTTTTTTTCCATAGCATATTTCGGTAAAAATGGATTTAACGATGAAGAGTATCGGCAATGTAAGAGCCGATATTTTTTACGCGCAACTTGTTTTGAAATATTTTACACTGTAGGAAATAATCACAGCATGAATATAACGATTAAAAAGTCATACGTTTTTTTAATAATGCAAGATAATTATCAATACTCATACAGCAAAAATGTAATTAAAGAATACAATGACAACAACAAAATTATGAATTCAACAACTAGTAAACAAAATGATACGATTTCTTACCTCAAATTGCTGGTTTTGAACCTTAGTTAAATGTTGTGACACGTTGGGATGCTGAAAACATACTGAGTTCGTTCGTTATATTCATGCTGTGATTGTCACCTAAATTGGGTTATTGAGTTAAATACACATCTTATGTAAGATCAGTGAACCCATATCAGTGATAAATATAAAAAATCTTGAATAAGGAGTCGCGTGCGATATTTTGGCACATCCTTTCTTAAACGCCGGGTGTGTGGCACACAGACCTATTGTGTGCCATTCTTCCTCCCCCCTTTATATGAGCTCTTAAGAGTTTTTAGCCTCCTTCCAATCTTCCGCTCAAATGCCTAGGTGTGAACGACCAAAAAGTCACAGGCGGCCTTTTATGTCTAGACCCTTACAACGTCTTGACTTATTCTTGTAAATTTTTTTTGTTAATATTCATAACCTATTATGAACATTTCATTGAATAAAGTAAATTTTATTTGTGAAAAAGTTTTTGCATTTTATTTAACAAATGTTTAATACAAATATGTTCAAAAGTTAAGTAAATTTCCTACATGTAAAGTTTTTTATTCTTCATTTAAAATGTTTTATACAAATATTTTTAGAAGTTAACTGAATTTCATACATGAAAATTTTTTTCTATTTCTTGAAACGTTTTTGCAAGTCTTTTTCAAAAAACCTAGATAGCTTAACTTAGTAAATGATTTACTTTTTCAAGTCTTTAAATCAGAATAAAAGAGTTAAGTAAATTTCCTACATGAAGTAATTTTTTATTCTTCATTTAAAATGCACAATCCAAGTATGTTTAGAAGTTAAGTAAATTTCATACATGTAAAGTTTTTTATTCTTAATTTAAAATGTTTTCAAATACTTTTAGAAGTTAACTGAATTTCATACATGAAAATGTTTTTCAATTTCTTAAGACTTTTTTGCAAAACTCTTTTAAAAAGCCTAGATAGCTTAACTTAGTAAATGATTTATTTTTTCAAGTCTTTAAATCAGAATAAAAATGTTAAGCAAATTTCATACATGAGGAAATTTTTA